GGAAAGGAAATAGTCACTCAAGTCCAGGAAGTGCAGAGTTCTAGGCAGAATAAACCCAAGGAGTAAAATGCTGAGACACATACTAAACATACTGACAAAAATTAAAGAGAGAAAACACTAAAAGCAACAAATAGCATACAAGGGAATGCCGTAAGGTTATCAACTGATACCTTAGCAGAAACTGTGTAGACAGAGGGAGTGCCTTGTAGCTAGCCAGGTTCCTCTGTCAATGGGATTTTTCTGCAGGCAAGCATACTGGAGTGGGTTGCCATTGCCTGCTCCAGGGGATCTTCATGACCCAGGGATAGAACTTATGTCTCCTGCATTGTATGTGGATTATTCACCATTGAGCCACCAGGGAAGTTCAGGAGTGGCACAATATATTTAAAAGGGAAGGGAAGAGCCTACAACCAAGAATATGCTATCCAGCAAAGTTCTCATTCGATTTGACAGAGAAATTAAAAGCTTTACAGACAAGCAAAAGCTAAGAGAATTCAGCACCATAAGAACAACTTTGTAATAAATGCTAAAGGAACTTCTTTAAGCAGAAAAGGCCACAACTAGGAAGCAGAAAATTATGAACAGAAAAGCTCATCAGTAAGGCAAACATAAAATAAATGTAGTAAATCATCTGCACACCAATATGGTACCAAAATCAGCAACTGTGAGAAGAGCGCACAAATGTAGGATATTGGCAATGCATTTGAAATTAGAAGACCAGAAATTTAAAGCAATCTTGTTTATATAAAAACTGCTATATCAAAACCTCATGGTAACTGCAAACTGAGAATCTACAATAGATATACACACAAAAAAGAAAAAAGAATCTAAACACAATGCCAAAGTTAGTCATCAGATCACAAGAGAAGCGAACAAAAGAGGAAGGGAGAAAAAAGACCTACAAAAACAAATCCAAAACAGTGAAGAAAATGGCAACAGGAGCATGTGCTGTGCTGCACTTAGTGTGCTTAGATGCTCAGTCCTGTCTGATTCTTTGCAACCCCAGGGACTGCAGCCAGGCTCCCCTGTCCATGGGGATTCTCCAGGCAAGAATACTGGAGTGGGTTGCCATGCCTTCCTCCAGGGGATCCTCAACCCAGGGATCGAACCAGGTCTCCCACATTGCAGGTGGATTCTTTGCCATCTGAGCCACCACAGAAGCCCAAGAATACTGAAGTGGGTAGCCTATCCCTTCTCCAAGGGATCTTCCCAACCCAGGAAAGGAACCAGGGTCTCCTGCATTGCAGATGGGTTCTTTTATCAGCTGAGCTACCAGGGAAGCCCCAATGGGAACATATGTATCAATAATTACCTTAAACATAAATGGATTGCTTCCCTGGTGGCTCAGCTGGTAAAGAATCCACCTACAATCCGAGAGACCTGGGTTTGATCCCTGGGTTGGGAAGATCCCCTGGAGAAGGCAAAGGCTACCCACTCCAGTATTCTGGCCTGGAGAATTCCATGGATTGTCCATGGGGAGACAGAGTCAGACATGACTGAGCAACTTTCACTTTTCACTAAATGGATTAAATGCTCCAACCAACGGACATAGACTGGCTGAATAGATACAAAAACAAGACCTGTATATGTGTTGTCTACAAGAGACCGGCTTCAGATCAAACAGCCCACATCGACTGAAAGCAAGGGAATGGAAAAAGATTTTCCAGCAAAGGGAAATCAAAAGGGAGCAATACTGATAAGACAGACTTTAAAATAAAGATCGTTACAGGAGACAAAGAAAGACACTACATAATGGTCAAAGAATCAATTCAAGAAAAAGATACAACAGTTATAAAAATATATATATATACTCAACATAGGAACACTCTAATATATTAAGGCAAATACTAACAGCCATAAAGAACTTCAGTCGCTCAGCTGTGTCCAGCTCTTTGTGACCCACTCAGCTATTGAGCAGTTTCAAATGTAACAGGTATAATGAAGAAAAATGAGCTTTTAATTAAATTTAAATTTGAAAACAGATAGTTGATTCTGAAAGTTTCTCTGAAACAATTTGGATATGTGAATCTACTTTTTCAAATCTATGTTTTATAAAACAGATCAAGAATGTCAAATGAAAACTTAGCTTCTGAATTAAGATGCAACATATACACTGAATTAAGTATATACATTGGATCTCCAAGATTCAATATAAAAATATTATAAAATAATCACATTAATAATTTTATATAGATTACATACTTAAATAATAGTATTTTAGATATTTGGAGTTAAATAAAATAATTATTGAAATTAGTCTCAACTTTTTCTTTTTACATTTCTTAAAGCAGCTAATAAAAAATCAAAAACAGCTATTGGAATGTACTTTGTTTCTATTGGACAGTGCCATACTATAGGATTAGATATAATTGACCACTTATTCCTTCCTGAAATGCTGCTGCTTTCCTCCTTCTACTTCTTGGACTCCCCCTTTCTAGTGTGCAGTGTAACTTTCTCTTCCACTCACTCCTTAAACGCCAGAGTCTCCCAAGGTTGTCCCGAGGCCCGTTCCCCTCCTCAGGTACTAGGTACTCTTCCTGGGTAATCTCATCCCCACCCAGGGCTTTCACTGTTCCCATATCCTGAGGATTGTCAGCCCCTATGTGCAAATCAGCCACTCTCCTGAAAACACTAGGTTCAACTCCACCTACACCTAAGTATAGTTGCACCTAATCTGTCATTAGATATTTACATATTTACCTTATTAATATCATAAATCTTGCCCCTCTTCTCCATTTCATTCAGGTTTTCACAATTTCTCATTTTTATCACTACAATAGCTTTGAAAGTACTATCCCTGATGCCTTCCAAATCAACTTCCTTTTGCTATTTAGTTTCTAAAACTCACACCTGGCCATATGATTTTTCTATTGAAAATACTCTGGCAGTTTCCCCACTGCTTTCAAGGCAAAATAAAAACTTCTTATAACCATACATAAGGCTTTATGCTTCATTATCAGCCTTATAAAATCCCAAACTCAGGCATATCTAAGCACCTGAAGTTCCCTTAATACAGCAAGTGTTGTGATCAGTTGTGCCCGATGCTTTGTGTCCCTATGGACTGTAACCTGCCAGGTTCCTCTGCCGTGGAATTTTTCAGGCAAAAAAACTGGAGTGGGGTGCCACTTCACACTCCAGGAGATCTTCCCAAACCAGGGATTGAACCCGAGTCTCTTGTGTCTCTTGCACTGGCAAGCAGACTCTATCACTAGCAGCACCTCTCCTAGTCATCCTTCAAAATTCATCTGATGTATAATTCCCCCAGGAAAGGTCTCCATTCCTCTAGGAAAGGTCTCCAAATGCCCAAGTTAGAACAAGGGTCCATCCACTGTGTCACCATCACCCCTATACACAGCTCTACCAATAACCCAATGGCACTGCCCTAGAATGACCTGGTAAAGTCTGTAAATTTTCTGAAGGTAGGAATTAAGTGGGGCTTCCTTGGTGGCTCAGGCGGTAAAGAATCTGCCTGCAAAGCAGAAGGCCCAGTTTCGATCCTTGGGTTGGGAAGATGCCCTGAAGAAGGGAATGGCTACTCACTCCAGTATTTTGCCTGGAGAATTCCATGGACAGAGGAGTCTGGTGGGCTATAGCCCACAGGGTCACAAAGAGTTGAATAATCAGACACAACTGAGAGACTAACACACACAGGAATTAAGTGTTTTAATTTTACCTGCTTGTGCTGTTCTTAATGAGTATAGGTATTTATTAAATGTACATAAAATTAAATAAGGGAAACCTACAGAATAAACTGCAAGGCTAAAAATTCAAAACTAGGCTAATATAATCACTAGTTAAATGAAGAAAGTTAACCTGATCACTCTAAAAATACTTTATTAGATGGCCTATTCCAGGACTGAATGAGCTAGCCAATAAAAATATATATCCTAAATAATCATTAAGAGAGCAAATATTCAACAAAAGCAATGATTAAAAAATTTAAAAACTAAACATGTTATGCTACGTCTACAGCCAATTTTTCGGATCTTTTCTTCCCTAATTCTACTTATCAGTTCCTTTCTTTAGTTCTTAACATGAACTTTCTTTCCAATTAAAAGGTGCATTTTTTCCCCTTCCCTCACTCAATCTTTTTCACTTATCCTTCTTCCAATTCTTCTTTTAATCTAACAAAAAATACGCTGTTTTGTCATCTCTGCCAGCCACTTTGTATAAAACAAAGGAATGGTAAAAAGCAGTGAATGGAATTATATCACCAGCCAGACAAAACCATGTGCGTTAATCTGGGTGGGTGATTTCATACTACCAAGCAGCTAATCTGGACCATATGCATAGTTAAGTGGAGTCTGACATACATGTAAGTCTTTGGGGTTACTGCAGCAGGACAGCAAGAGGTAAGAGAGAACAGCCAAGTTCCTGGTGGTGAGGGCAGCTAAGCACAGCCTCACAACATTCTCCTGTTTGTGCCCATCATTCAAAAGAAAGCAGAAACAGTCAGCGGGAATTCAGGAGGCTGTCAGCTACCTGAACTAGCATGGCTGGGTAACTGATTTGACGGTGTTCGCAGCAATAGCCAACAAGTACCAGATGCCAGTCTGAGCACACTGAGCAAGGTACCAACTTCAGGACACAAAATAAAGACTGCTGCTCCCAGGTCACTTACGAAATTCAGTTTTAGGACAGAATGGATTCTGAGAGAGGCAGAGAAGTATCTGAAGAGGAATTATATAAGTATTTAATGTAGGTTGGTAGGAAGAAACAATTGCTATAATAGAAGGGAAGAGAGTACATTCTTTCAATTACCTGAGAGTAATTTTCTAAAACCACTCAATATTAGCTTTTGTAGGCATAGGGAAGTTCACCCTGAGGATCTATCTCACACGGAAGTCACAATCAAACAAAAATGAAATCTCTTGAAAAACTTTATAACCAGCAAGATAATGTAACAGTGAAGGATGTGTTTGAAAGTTTCTGGACTATTACAGCAGCACTTTTAAATAATCAATTGATTTTAAAGCAGTACAGGGCTTTTGTACACTTACCCGTGTCCAGGAATTAAGTTTTGATTCTCTAGAATTCTGTGGATCTTTCTTAATTAGACAACACAAGCACCATATTAGAATTTTGGGGCTTTCATCTGCAGAAATGAAGGTTAAAATAAGTAGGCTTGATAAAATAGAAAAGACAATCAGTATAAAATCTGTAAACATATTTAAAGGAAACACATTTATTATAAATGTTTTAGAAAAATCACAAACTACAAAGTTCACTGAACAAGCATCCGGGCTCATGTGTGAAACTTAACTTTGTGGGGTTTTTTTTCCTTCTGTGGGTTCAGGATTACTTATGCTTAGCCCTTGTGTGGTCAATTCTTTTTCTGTCACAGAAGCAATTTTTAAGGCCAAAAGAGAAATATGGAAAGAACTAAGAAAAACAGTCTTTTTTATTTTCAAGATTTGTTCCTTATCTTATTTTCAAACCATTAGTAATTTCAACCTTTTTAAGGCAACATCACTGCTATGAGCGATAGTCAATATTTCTGATTTAATCTAATTGGCCAAAATACCTCATCTCACATGCTAGTGAAGTAATGCTCAAAATTCTCCAAGCCAGGGTTCAGCAATACGTGAACCATGAACTTCCAGATGTTCAAGCTGGTTTAGAAAAGGCAGAGGAACCAGAGATCAAATTGCCAATATCTGCTGGATCATCGAAAAAGCAAGAGAGTTCCAGAAAAACATCTATTTCTGCTTTATTGACTATGCCAAAGCCTTTGACTGTGTGGATCACAATAAACTGTGGAAAATTCTGAAAGAGATGGGAATACCAGACCACCTGACCTGCCTCTTGAGAAGCCTGTATGCAGGTCAGGAAGCAACAGTTAGAAATGAACATGGAACAACAGACTGGTTCCGAACAGGAAAAGGAGTATGTCAAGGCTGTATATTGTCACCCTGCTTATTTAAATTATATGCAGAGTACATCATGAGAAACACCAGGCTGGATGAAGCACAAGCTGGAATCAAGACTGCCAGGAGAAATATCAATAATGTCAGATATGCAGATGACACCATCCTTATGGCAGAAAGTGAAGATGAACTAAAGAGCCTCTTGATGAAAGTGAAAGAGGAGAGTGAAAAAGTTGGCTTAAAGCTCAACATTCAGAAAACTAAGATCATGGCATCTAGTCCCATCACTTCATGGCAGATAGATGGGGAAACAGTGGAAACAGTGGCTGACTTTATTTTTCTGGGTTCCAAAATCACTGCAGAGAGTGATTGCAGCCATCAATTTAAAAGACGCTTACTCCTTGGAAGAAAAGTTAAGCAGAGACATTACTTTGCCAACAAAGGTCCATCTAGTCAAGGCTATGGTTTTTCCAGTGGTCATGTATGAATGTGAGAGTTGGACTGTGAAGAAAGCTGAGCACCAAAGAATTGCTGCTTTTGAACTGTGGTATTGGAGAAGACTCTTGAAAGCCCATTGGACTGCAAGGAGATCCAACCAGTCCATCCTAAAGGAGATCAGTCCTGGGTGTTCACTGGAAGGACTGATATTGAAGATGAAACTCCAATACTTTGGCCACCTGATGCAAAGAGCTCACTCACTGGAAAAGACCCTGATGCTGGGAAAGATTGAGGGCAGGAGGAGATGGGTGCGACAGAGGATGAGATGGTTGGATGGCATCATCGACTTGATGGACATGGTTTTGGGTGGACTCTGGGAGTCGGTGATGGACAGGGAGGCCTGGCGTGCTACAGTTCATGGGGTCGCAAAGAGTTGGACACGACTGAGCAACTGAACTGAACTGAACCTTCACTTGTTAGAAATAAATTTAACAAAAAGAATTATTTTTAAAAACATTCTTTTCAGTACCAGATGGTTTGGACAAAACAGAAGCCTTTCACATGTTCCTCATGAGGCAGGAGGTAGATGGGCTCCTTCTGAGAGTAAAGTAACTGGAGGTTCATTGTTTGTGGATATCAGGACAATTAAGGGAAAAGGCTAGGCCCTGCCCAGTCCACATATTTCTTATTCTCAAAGTCCGGAGACCTCCCCAACCACACACATGAAGAAAAGGCTCCTCAGAGGTCAAAGCAGAGTTATGTTAAAGGATGTTCCCTAACCAGACACCTTTTCAGTAAAATCAATCTTGGCTAAGACATGTGTGCATACACGAGAGGATCCTGAGATACGGACCAAATATGGACCGTGAACCAGGTAAATCAAAATGACTGGCCAAAGGAAAAATGGAAGAAATGCCCCATAAAAGTAATTCAAAGTGCCACAGGGATGCAACTCAGGGATTCTCCCTGAATCTGCCTGTGTGTCTATCCACACGACTGTACTTTTTTCCCCCTCTTAGTAAATACTTTATTTGTTTCACCACTTAGTGTCTTTGAGGGAATCCTTTTCTGCCAAGCTGAAGGGCCAGGGCCCTTGTCACTGACCAATGGTCTAGTGGCTAGGAATCTGGGGCTTTCACCACCACAACCCAGCCTCAGTCTCTGTCTGGAAACCCAAGTCCCCCTCCAAGCCTCTGCAAGCTGAGGCCACCCGAGATTACTAATTCTTTACTCTAAAGGGTAAAACTTTACTAAATGTGATAACAATGTCGACCTTCAAAATCTTCTACATGGTTAGCACATCTATTTGGTAAGCCATTTTCTCTTTTCTCCTTTGGCAACTAAGTCCATTCAAGTTGGAGATTTTAGTACACAACTGAGAAGCAAAAATGAAGCCTAAAAACTGAAGATGTCAGTATCTGAACTAGAACCAAGCTACTGTGGACTCTACTACAAGGCCATGGGGCTGAGGCTGAGGAAACCCAGCACCTGTAATCACACCTCTGCAGATCACCTGATGCTCTTTACTTTGTTATCAACTGCAATTTCATAAACAGAGCATTTCTGAGGGCTTCTTAACAAGAAATAAGAAGAACACAAACTATAGTAAGCTACCTCTGCATTTTCTACCACACATCAAAGGACTCTGATATTAATTTTAAATCCATCTGGCCCCTCCCCCCAAAAAACATCCATAAGCCTATGCTCTTCTAATAACTAACATTTCTAAACAAACTTTATCAGGAGTTATCCTGAGACATATTCATATTTTTCCTAGTTTTTATGAGCTCAAATACCATCACTGGCTTGCCTGAAAGTTTATTTCAAGAATCATACAATTTAACCTCTGAAGATTCTAGAGTTCTTCAGGTTGAATCAATGCCACTGATTAAAAATCTGTTGTACTGTTTTAGATATCAGAAGAAATTAGAACTATCTGCATGTCACAAGTGTGAAAATACATCTATTGATATGCTTATGCAAGCAACTTCCCATGTTAAAGAGAATGCAACCCAATGGGAAGCAGTTCCAAAAAAATCAGACTTCACCAATAAAAAGAAAAAAGAGGAAGAATGAAAATGTTAGTGATAAAGTGTAAAATCTAAAAAAAATCCAAAAAATTAGATTTTTCCCCGAGGTGTTAAGTGATTCTGCATGTTTATTTCAACAAGTGTATTATTTTTTACTTTTCTCTCAAAAAGAAAAAGAAGAGCCAGAGTAACTTTCACCCAGCCTTAAGGAGGTGCCTTTCTTTGACCAGAATCAATGCACTGAAATGTACTATTAATGAGCTTACTTTGCTTTAGAGACTTAAACATGAAAGCCACCACTTGTTACTCAAGAATGCCATCAGCACTGTCTACAGGGGATGGCATCTGTCAGGTTCCTCCCTGGAGGCGCAGATACCAGGGCTGGGGCACTGGGGATAGAAAACTGCCTGGGATTCATCATGTGGGCAGTCATCAGTGCAAATCTGCATTTTTAGAAATTAGTGCAGGGGAAAGGAATATACTAACATATATTTGCCACCCAATTATTTTATTTTTTCATATCTTTAACTGAAAGCCTAAATGAAAGCTAAATTAATTCTGTAGTTTAAAAGTGATAGCAGCATATTTTTAGACAATAAATATTTATTGTTTTCAGTTGCCACGTTTGAAGGCAAACTCTCAAGCGGTAATAAAAAGCATGAGAGAGGCTACAGCTATGATATTAATATGTGATTCATGAGGGCAGAGTTAGAACCCACCAGCCAGAACTCCAAGGTGAAGGCAGTAATTTTACACAGAGAACACCACTGAATAAAAGGCATTTTCTCCCTTTCTATTATCTATTTTTTCTCTTCTCTTTGTGTTTTTTAATTTTCAAATCCCTCCTCCTTCTTTATTATCCTTATTTCTGATCTTATTCTCACTTACCATTAAGGGAAACTTACTTCTTTCCTTGATGGAAATTGTTTATTTTTTGTTGTATTTCAAAGGTAATTTTGATATTATGAAATCATAAAAAAAAGATACTTTCCTGGAAGAAAGCGCCCAGCTAGTCAAACAATAGTGGCAACATAGCCAAGATTTGATTACTCATGGAGTTCTCTGCCTGTCAGTCTCCTCCAGGAGCTTGACACCAAATGGGTACTTCAAACAGGAAACTGAAATCTAATGGGCAATTCAAGAAATTGAAATTTAATGGGCAATTTAAAAGGTAACATAAGCATTTAAACAGAGATGGAGAATTTGTTTCTGGTTGTCAGAGGGGCCAAAGTAATGGATATTAGGTGCTAAGGAGAGATCACAGACAGATACAAGTTTAAGGCGACAGGGATAAGTCAGTACAGCTTCTCACTTTCACACATAAAGAATCTGAGATCCAGTGAGCTGGGTGGCTTGCCTTAGAAAACCCCATCTCATCTACTGTCCTTCAAGAGTCAGCCCCCACAAAATCTCCCCTGTGAAACTCTCCTTCCCCTCAGCAACTCATTCAAAGCTCCACAGCACCAACCATCATCCTGAGTCTGACTGACCTACTTAGGTCTCTTTTTTCCCTAACTAGAATCTCCTTGGGTGCAGAAATTGTGAGCCATGTTTTCCTAAGGCTTGCTGTTTTTTTAAAAGAATAGTGAATATATACATTCACATGAGGCTGGCTGGTGGTAAAGCCAGGACTGGAACATTTCAACCACAGTGGTATGATCCGCGGGGACAGATCATTACAAAAATGCAGGCTTTAGAGGAGTAGGATCTTGAATTTTATTAGTTCTGTATTCTGAGAAAAGTGACATATCTATACTAATCCATAAATACCTATCCTGCAAACCTATCATGAGTTCAATCAGACCCACAATGCAACCCATAGAGAACAGTGCTCAATACCAAGTGAGAAATGCTGCTCATTTTACTTCAATTCAACAACCCAAACTTTTAACATATTAGCATTTCTGAATTAAGGATATGCCCTATATCCACTGTCGCTGTTGTTCAGTTGCTAAGTCGTGTCCAAATCTTTGCAAACCCATGGACAGCAGCTAGCCAGGCTCTGCCGTCCTTCACTATCTCCTAGAGCTTCCTCAAATCCATGTTCATTGAGTCAGGATACTATCCAACCATCTCATCCTCTGTCGTCCCCTTCTCCTCCTGCCCTCAATCTTTCCCAGCATCAAGGTCTTTTTCCAGAGTCAGCTTTTCGCATCAGGTGGCCAAAGTATTGGAGCTTCAGTTTCAGCATCAGACCTTCCAATGAATATTCAGGGTTGACTTCCTTTTGACTGGTTTGATCTCTTTGCAGTCCAAGGGACTCTGAAGAGTCTTCTCCAGCACAACAGTTCAAAAGCATCAAATCTTTGGTGCTCAGCCTTCTTTATGGTCCAACTCTCACATTCATAGATGATTACTAGAAAAACCACAGCTTTGACGATATGGGCCTTGTCAGCAAAGTGAGGTCTCTGCTTTATATTATGCAGTCGAGGTTTGTCAGAGCTTTTCTTCTAAGGTCTTTTAATTTAAAACCGTCTGCAGTGATTTTGGAGCCCAAGAAAATAAAGTCTGTCAGTGTTTCAATTTTTTCCCCTTATATTTGTCATGAAGTGGTGGGACCAGATGCCATGATCTTAGTTTTCTAAGTTTTAAACCAACTTTTTCATTCTCCTTTTCGCCTTCATTAAGAGGCTTTTAGTTCCTCACCACTAGGTACACTTAAAAGACATATTATTTCCTTTTGCTAAAAAGTGGTTATTCAATCCATGAAGTATCTAACGATGAATTATGCCTTTAAATGGAGGAAATTCAAGTGTGTCTTTTCCTTTCTCCTGCCACCATTGACCTAGCTCAGTGATTTTCAAACTTTTGGTCATGATCCATTGATGGATTGTAAAATCAGTTTGGGGTCATGAAAACCATTAAAATGGGATAGTGAATATGAATTGCAGGTGATAAAGGCAAGCATTTTTTAATGAAATGTGTGTGTGTATGTGTGTAACTGTATCGACACACATATACACGTGTACAGAAAATGTATGTCTGGTCAAAAGTTTTTAGGAAATACTAGCTGAGTTGAAATATATAAATTTAGGACAGGCATGGCCCTGGTAGGCAAATACAGTGATGCCTTTGCCATTTTAGATCAAATTTGAAAAAGCTAAGAGTCAACTCAAGGGAGGAAGAGTCAACCCAAGGGAGAAGGGGAAGCAAGAAGTGCATAAGTGAAGAGGAAAAACAACAGATGAAGACGGTGGTAAAGTGAATGAGTGTGAGTATATATAGTGTACCAACACATGTACGTTCATGGAAGTAAATGCAAATGCTGTCCCTTCCCCATCAAGTTCAATCTTCTTATAATTACTTATAACAGGCGAGGACAGAGACATATAATTCTCTAAAACATGAAAGGGGAATATTCATTTTATTTTTGATTCTATTATCATTATGGGGGCTTCCCAGGTAGCTCAGTGGTAAAGATTCCACCTGCCAATACAAAAGACATACCAGTTCTGTTCAGTTCAGTCGCTCAGTCATGGCCAACTCTTTGTGACCCCAAGGACTGCAACACGCCAGACTTCCCTGTCCATCACCAACTCCCAGAGATTGCTCAAACTCATGTCCATTGAGTCAGTGATGCCATCCAACTATCTCATCCTCTCTCATCCCCTTCTCCTTCTGCCTTCAATCTTTCCCAGCATCAGGGTCTTTTCCAATGAGTCAGCTCTTCACATCAGGTGGCCAAAGTATTGGAGTTTCAGTTTCAGCATCAGTCCTTCCAATGAATATTCACGACAGATTTCCTTCAGGATAGACTGGTTAGATCTGTTGGCAGTCCAAGGGATTCTCAAGAGTCATCTCCAACAGCACAGTTCAAAAGCATCAATTCTTCAGTGCTCAGTTTTCTTTATAGTCCAACTCTCACATCTATAGGTGAGTGACTACTGGAAAAACCATAGCTTTGACTAGACGGACCTTTGTTAGCAAAGTAATGTCTCTGCTTTTTAATATGCTATGTAGGTTGGTCATAGCTTTCCTTCCAAGGAGCAAGCGTCTTTTAATTTCACGGCTGCAGTCACCACCTGCAGTGATTTTGGAGCCCAACAAAGTAAAGTTTGTCACTGTGTCCACTGTCTCCCCGTCTGTTTGCCATGAAGTGATGGGACCGGATGCCATGATCTTAGTTTTCTGAGTGTTGAGTTTTAAGCCAGTTTTTTCACTCTCTTCTTTTACTTTCATCAAGAGGCTCTTTAGTTCTTCTTTGCTTTCTGCCGTAAGTGTGGTATCATCTGTGTACCTGAGGTTATTGATACTTCTGGAAATCTTGATTCCAGCTTGTGCTTCATACAGCCTGGCATTTTGCATGATGTACTCTGCATATAAGTTAAATAAGCAGGGTGACAATATACAACCTTAACATACTCCTTTCCCAATTTGGAACCAGTCTGTTGTTCCATGTCTGGTTCCAACTGTTGCTTCTTGACCTGCATACAGATTTCTCAGGAGACAGGTAAGGCGGTCTGGTAATCCCATCTCTTGAAGAATTTTCCAGTTTGTTGTGGTCCACACAATCAAAGGCTTTGGCACAGTCAATAAAGCAGAAATAAGATGTTTTTCTGGAACTCTTTTGCTTTTTCGATGATCCAATGGATGTTGGCAATTTGATCTCTGGTTCCTCTGCTTTTTCTAAATCCAGCTTGAACATCTGGAAGTTCAAGGTTCATGTACTGTTGAAGCCTGGCTTGGAGAATTTTGAGCATTCTCAAAATTACTAGCATGTGAGATGAATGCAATTGTGCAGTAGTTTGAGCATTCTTTGGCATTGCCTTTCTTTGGGACTGGAATGAAAACTGACCTTTTTCAGTCCTGTGACCACTGCTGAGTTTTCCAAATTTGCTGGCATACTGAGTGCAGCACTTTAATAGCATCATCTTTTAGGATTTGAAACAGCTCAACTGGAATTCCATCACCTCCACTAGCTTTGTTCGTAATGATGCTTCCTAAGGCCCACTTGACTTCACATTCCAGGATATCTGGCTCTAGGTGAGTGATCACACCATCGTGGTTATCTGGGTCATGAAGATCTTTTTGTATAGTTCTTCTGTATATTCTTGCCACCTCTTAACCTCTTCTGCTTCTCTTAGGTCCATACCTTTTCTGTCCTTTATTGTGCCCATCTTTGCATGAAATGTTCCCTTGGTATCTCTAATTTTCTTGAAGAGATCTCTAGTCTCTCCCATTCTATTGTTTGCCTCTATTTTTTTGCACTGATCACTGAGGAAAGCTTTCTTATCTCTGCTTGCTATTCTTTGGAACTCTGCATTCAGATGGGTATATCTTACCCATAGATGTAGGAGACGTGGGTTCAATCCCTGGGTTGGGAAGATCCTCCAGAGGAGGAAATGGCCACACACTTCAGTATTTTCAGTGGGAAAATTCCATGTACAGGGGAGTCTAGCAGGCTATAGTCCATGGGGTCAGAAAGAGTTGGACACAACTGACCACACATCATCGTTATATTATGCAATTAGTTTCTTACTTTAAAAAGCATGAAAAGTAAAGATTCTATTAGCTAACAACATAGTCAAATCAAGACATTAAACTTCTTACGTACACTTTCAGATATGCCTACTCCACCCTATGCAAAGCTCTACGACAACCAAGAGAACGAAAACCACATTTCCTGCGACATTCAGTCTTCCAGGACATTAGACAGGCAAGCCAATAATTATAAAGCAGTATAGTAAGGGTTATAATTAAGGGAGATGCTGGCAACTATGGACACACTAAGGAAGGTTCCTAACTGAGTCCTAGCAAAGCTATTTCAAAGAAGGTTTGAGGATTTGAGATGAGAACAAAGTTCCAGGCAAAAAGAACTGCATGTCACAGGCCCAGACATCAAACACTGTTACTAATTTAACCTAGCTACAATGCACATGATATTGATATTAAACAGGAAATGTGGCTAGACAGGTAGGTAGGAGGTCAGTGAAGGGACAACTTCCTTAGAGTGTCTCCAAATTCCTCCTAACCTTGGATAAAACCAAAATGTGTTCCCTAAATAATGGCAGAGTCAAGGCAGGATTCAGACACTAAAGAATTTTATGCATGAAAACAGCACATGAGTTAATATGAAATTGTGAAACAAAGAAATTTTTTCACAATAATCATTCTATACTGAATTAAAAAATGAGGCTGCAACAATCATCTGGGAGCATCTACCCTCTAATTCAAGACTTTCTATTCTCCTACACATCTGTGTGTGTGTGTATCCATACACATGTACACAAACACATATGGACAACAATAAAGGATGCCATCTTTGTAAAGAACAAGGAATACATTTGATAAGTTGTTTCATGAAAAATAAGAGAAAGGCTTATCATTTAAAGCTCTGAATGCTGTTAAACAATGCAAAGATTAAAATTATCATTAAAAGATTGGATTTTGAGAGGACATGCTTTGGATTCTTACCGTAAGCTAAGATAAAAGGACTCCAGCAAGATTTTGCCAACAGCTGGCAAATTGTGGGGAATCTTTCAATGATTGTATTTGAATCCTATAAAAGAAATTTATATTTGGTCAGTAGAAGGACACTACACAACTCAGAAAATACTGAACTGTCATTATAGGTTGAGAGATCTTGAATGCTTCTTATTTCGTGTGTATTTTACAAAAATAGGTAAAAAACAGATTAGAGAAGATCTTTAAGTAAATAATTTTAATAAAGTTTAACGAGCAATCACCATACTTTATCCTTAAACCAGCTCACTAAAACTAGGAATTACAGCAAGTTTAGGAAAATCAATTTTGTTGCAGAATTAACTTTATTTTGGGCTTCCCTGAGAGCTAAGTAGGTAAAGAATCCACCTGCAATGCAGGAGACGCCAATTCGATTCCTGGGTTGGGAAGATCCCCTGGAGAAGGGGATAGGCTTCAGTATTCTTGGTCTTCCCTTGTGGCTCAGCTGGTAAAGAATCTGCCTGCAATGTGGGAGACCTGGGTTTGATCCCTGGGTTGGGAAGACCCCCTGGAGAAGGGAACAGCTCATGAAATGAAAAGATGCTTACTCCTTGGAAGAAAAGTTATGACCAACCTAGACAGCATATTAAAAAGCAGAGACATTACTTTGCCAACAAAGGTCCGTCTAGTCAAGGCTGTGGTTTTTCTTAGTGGTCATGTATGGATGTGAGAGTTGGACTGTGAAGAAAGCTGAGTGTCAAAAAATTGATGCTTTTGAACTGTGGTATTGGAGAAGACTCTTGAGAGTCCCTTGGACTGCAAGGAGATCCAACCAGTCCATCCTAAAGGAGATCAGTCTCCCGAGTGTTCACTGGAAGGACTGATGTTAAAGCTGAAACTCCAATGCTTTGGCTACCTGATGCGAAGAGCTGACTCATGAAAAGACCCTGATGCTGGGAAAGACTGAAGGCAGGAGGAGAAGGGGACGACAGAGGATGAGATGGTTGGATGGTATAACCGACTCAATGGACATGAGTTTGGGTAAACTCCAGGAGTTGGTGACGGACAGGGAAGCCTGGCGGGCTGTGGTCCATGGGGTCGCAAAGAATCGGACACAACTGAGCAACTGAACTGAACTGAACTGAATCCATTACAGTATTCAGGCCTGGAGATTTTACCTTTAAATTTATATACTTTATCCTTAAACCAGCTCACTAAACTAAGAATTATAGCAAGTTTAGGTAAAATCAATTTTGTTGCAGAATTAACTTTATTTTACTCATATTTAAGTCAAGAAAGAACACTTAATTCAAAAATAACAAAGACTGCTTAATAGTGAAAAAATTATGGGTGATTAATATCTATATAACACCATATCTTCATCATGATTTTTTTAAATTCTAACATAATAAGAGAACTTCCTGAGTCAGCTCCAGTAGCACTATCTCAAATAAGGTTTAGAAGGACAAGAACTCTGGAACTTGTAATAAAAAATAAGAGAAAAGAAAAAAAAAAGAAATAAGAGCAGCCAAAACATACAGATATATATCTCTGTTTATTACTATTGTGATTACTATATGCTAAATGACATCATACTTGTCTACAACAACCTAAAACCTAACACACAAAAAAATATCAACCAAATAGAAAACAGCCTAAGGTTCAAACATACACATGGCCCTTTTCCCACTTCTTTACTTTTCAAGAAAGTTCAAAAATGAAATAAGACCAAATTGGGATAATGTACACATAAACTGAAATGATAAGCATTTCCTACTGCTGAAACAATAAATTCCTCACATATGTCTTAGCATCAGTGTCAGCCTTGGACTTTCCAGAATCACTTTAAGGTCAAGTTACAAAAGTCTTCTTAAAAAAGTTAGCATTAGTTGTTCATATACACTGTAACTTTTCTTCTACTTTCTAGAGACATGAGAACTCACATCATCACTATGAATTATTTTTCAAATTTCCTACTTGCTCCTTTGATTAAGGAAAGAAAATTTTAACACAAGAATACCTACATTAAATGATAATTTTGCTTCTCATTTTGAAATTAGAAAATAAGTATAATGTTTTCATAATATGAAAATGCACTAATTCACAAAAATACCTATTGCAATAAAACTACAAAATTTTATGTCAAAACAAAAACATCAAATTTTGAACACAATAACTTACATAACAATAGTGAAGACACTCATAATCTTAATAGTCACAAGAAAAGTCCACTTAAAATATCTGGAAGAAGAGATCTTAAATTTTATCATCTCTTAGTTGAGCCCATTTTAGAATAGAGTTGAGAAAAGAGTAAGCATTTCATCAAACTCTTCAATATTTAAGAGATACAAAGACCTTTAAAAGAACCCCAATTATGACCTGACAACAAATGTCAAAGTCTTGTTTATTTAAAAACAACTTGATTGGTCAGGAAATCTCATGTGACAATATAACTCATCAAGAAAGAAAAGACTGAAGTCATAATAAATCAGACACTAGCAAACCACTTCCTGTCTCCATTACTTACAGGTAATTTGTCTGTCTAATCCTTCAATATGTTAGGTCAAGACCACAAGTCCCTGACTGCATTCAGGCTTAGTGAAATCTGGTGAAGAGTTCCTGATGTCACAAAATAACATTATTACTTTACTTTGGTCCACTACTCACCATCTCTTTCAAGGTTTCATACATCTGCCTCAGGAACTCCTGGAACTGTGGCAGGTGAAGGCAGATGTCTCGCTGGGTTTCCAAAGTGGAGGCCTGAGTCCAGACAGAAAGCTTCTGCATCCAAAACTGATAATCAGAAGGAAGGCATGCTGAGTCTTCAGCCATCTCAGAAAAAGGGACGAAATAATATGCCTTCACAGTGGTTGGCTACACACTGAAGAAGACAGCGAACATACATCAACTCTGTAAGAAAGAGGGGGAGATAAAACATTTAAGAAAGAATCTTCTATCAGGGTCTTCACAATCACGGATGAGTTTTTACAGTGGATTACAAGGAGGATGACAAGTGACCAAAATAGCATGCCTTCCGTGAAGTCATCTTTGAGTTATTTTAAAATGTGTCACCCAGCTGTATCTCCAATTTTTACCATCTGAACTTTTTACCATGAGTAATATCATTACACTAAAAGTCATTATACCTCCATAGGCACATCGCTAATTATGTACAAAAAGCACAGCTGATAATACTTTATATCTTCTTTTTAAGATTGAGCTATTTTTAAATGATCTGAATATGAAGTTCATCTGAGTATTTTAATGTAATGGGAAATCAAAAACATCCACGGAAGTTTCATAATAGTCTGTCTAAGAAATGTTTTTGAAGTTCTTATGTTTTATATGCATTTCTGGCTTCTCATTTAGGTGTAAAAAAAAAATCTCTGGGCATTACTGTCTAATGAATTTTCTTCCTGGCTTCTCAATTCTTTGAAAAAAGTAAAATAATTCATTCCACATGCACGGATTTGAACAATCTGCTTAATTTATTTAAAGACTGCTGTATATGCTTGATCTCCATTCACAAGAAGAAATCATATTTTGGTAAAGTAAGATAAACTCTAATTATTGGGAAGGTATGGACAGGGAGGCCTGGCGTGCTGCGATTCATGGAGTCGCAAAGAGTCAGATACGACTGAGTGACTGAACTGAACTGATATATGTCCTAAGTGACAGAAAATAAAAACTCATAAACCTGACTACACATCTGAAGAACATGTTAAAAAGAATGGTAGAGTTACATACACAGACAGCATGTGCCTCAGGCAGAGTCGGGTCAATAAACTCCAGATGCCTCCCCACCACCCCAAGTCCTCGCCATCCACACCCCTGGGAAGCATATGGGGGAGAGAATGGAAGGCTGCCTTCAGCAGGTGCAGGCTTTTACAGACGCCTACTTTCCTGGGGCAGGGATGATAGTCAGCTATCTAATTTCAAAAGACTACTCTGCAAGGGGTGAGTGAGTGTAAATCTTCAAAAGCAATAATTAACAGATAAAATGCTCCCAATTAAATGCCAAAAACATCAACAAAGAAGGTTTTCATTACTAAACAAGAAAGTAAGAAAAAAATAAGAAGGGTGTACAATTTGGCTACAGTGCAAAAGAAAAAAATCTAGACCAGGAAGATGAAAATTTTAAAACATACTAAAAATTTAAGTTTGAAAAGCACTATAAAGTTTTTTTTTAAAGTTTAATAATAGAGAGAATATATGCATACTATCAAATGGGACCTAATAGTCAAAAATCCAGACATCTGATTATTCTCTCCTATTATCTTCATCCAAGCCATCACCAATACCTGTTCATTCTACTCCTAAAATAAATATTCGTGCTTTCATTTGACCTCATTCATTTCTTTCCATTTCCACTGCTGCCATCCCACCCCATTCCTGTCTATTTCTTCCCTAGAGTCTTTTATCTGGTCCCACCTGTTCCTCTCCAATTCATTTTCTACACTGTCGACAAAAACAACTTTCCTAAATGTAAATCAGACCCACTCCTGCTTAAAATCTCTTCAATACTTTCCTTGGAAAGAAATCTCAACTCCTTGCAGAAATTATCCCAGCTCCTTACCAGAGTCTCTAATAAGACCTTGATAAGCAGAGCTCCAGCACACCTGCCCACCTCCTATGTTGCCTCTGCCCAGCTGACCAGAGTCCAGTCAAGGCCTGGCATCTATTTACCAACATATGAAACCCTGCTTCCAGGTCTTTCTGCTGATTCCTCCACAGCTCTCGGCAAATCAGTTAATTTCTCTGGGCGTTTATTTGTTCACTCACTTACTGTCTCGTCTACTGGTAAATACATCTTCTGTCGTCCTTGAATTTAGCCCTTGCATGGCCAATAATAAGTGTTGAATGAGGGCATATTTTTCGAAGTATAGTTCTAAGCTAAGTGTTATAACAAAATGCTTTTTCCAGATAGAGCAATTTTCAAAAGGTATATCCCCAAAAAAGAAAATTTGAAGGTATTTTAATATTATTTATGTAAAACTTAATTATTAATATCCCATTTTATAACTACAGTAATAATAGCTTAAATATATAATTACTATGCTTTTGGTAATACATTAAATACTTTTTGCAAACTAGCTAACTTAATCCTCACAACAACCCTGTGAAATGGGTACTACTATCTTCATTTTACAGAGGCACAGGGAGATTATATAATTGCCCAAAGAAAGAGTATGTAAAAGCCAAAGGAAGTAACTGTTAGTAAACAGCAAAGCTATGGTTGTAGAATTTGAATTTAAGGAGTTCAGCTCTAAAGTCTATGCCCTTAAACAAAGAAATAAACTGAAGAAACAAATCGATGAATTTCTGACATGTTTCACATGGCTGTAGATGTGAGTCAGTTTAGATATTTGAGGACATCAAACTGAAAAACTTTTTGATAGAAGAGACAAGAAAATATTTAACAAAATTACAAACAACCTTCAGTTAGCAATGGGAATGGATCTGATTTCATTGGAAAAAGCTTCAGAGATCATGCAGTGCAGTGGTCTGGATGCTCTGTGTCACCGCCTACCTGGGGAGGGGCGGCAGTGGGAGCAGCATGACGGCAGTGATTGTGAAATGGGTGGTGCTCTGGCTGTGATGGTAACAGTAAGGGTGCTCCTGACATTTCGTATCCGAGTCAAGGACACTGAACACACTGCAATGCACTGGAACAGCGGCTCAAAAAGGAAAATGGTCTTCCCCCAAAGGCCAGTGACGCCCCAATTGAGAAATGCTGACCTAATTTGAACATTCTGGAAAGGACATCTGTTGGTTTTGTCTGTTTACTGTTCCTCCTCCATTTTCAGTTGTAACAGCTTACTCTTCCTTTAGGAAAGTCTCTCTCTTACATTCCCCAAGTACTGGCAGATCTTTAATCATTTTATGGTACCTATGCCATCAAGCCAAGGAGTGAGAGGATGATTTAAATTTAACAAAGTAGACTCTGCTGGGAATCTGAATCTTCAGTAGATTGTGATAAGGATAGAATTAAGTCATCCCAAAGAATCTCTTGATCTAGATCTCTATGTATGTCCTTAACAAACTATGAGTTTTCAGCCTTCTCTTTGATTCTACCAGTTACCCAGGAGCCTTCCAATAATAATAGCTTTGCTTAAATTAACCACTGTTGGTTTCTGTGATTTTTAACACAAGAACACAAACTGGTATCTCTGATGTTATACAATATCTGATACAAACTGATACCAGATAGTGGGCTGCAGACAACACACCTTTGCAGAAAGGAGAGGAATTTAGAACTGCTACTAGGCCAAGCCAGGTAAAATGGCAGTGAAACTCTTGTGCGTATTATGGAATTGAAAACCAGAAGTCCATGGAAGAAGGTAATACAGATCAATGAGGCATCTCACCTTCACACAAGGGCCCTGAATCATTAAGATATTCCAGTAGGAATGGCTAAGTGAAACCACTGGACTATCAAAACAGACAAACATCTGGTGATTTGCAGAGAACCCCACTTCCCAGATGAGGGGTCAATGGATCTTAGTGATATTAGGTTTTCATAAACATAATCAAGTGGTTACTCCAACTCAAGGTGCACTTTTAGACGTGAGTCCTGACTGGGGCAAATTAATACCCTTGGCACCTAGAATTCAGTTATGAAGCTGGTATCTCCATTTCTCCATGGGGATAAACTGAGGATATGAGAAAGCAGTTGCCTGCCTCAGAGCTATCAACTCCAGATACAGCACATTACACTGGTCTACCACAGTGAAGATACCAAGCTGACAGAACCTGGAAAGTACAAAGATGCAGGTGCTTTGTCTGTATTCCATATGGTGGGATACAAATTCCACGAACATACAGGGTCTGCCACTTCAGAAGTTTCTTATAATCCAATGATCTGTGTCAGATGAGAATGTGTCCTTTAAAATGAGGATACACAAGAATCTAGTACCAGAGGTTGCCTCCATTGTGGAGACTGAGGTAGTCGGATGGTAAGTACAAGAAAGGAAATCTCCTTTTCTGTAATTTTACTGTACACTTTTTTGCACTTTTTCAATTTAATGCCATATGTACTAGTTACTGACTCAAAATAATAAGCAAACAAAAATAAGGTGAATGATAACTGCTGTACCTACCTTACACCCGCTAAGAGGCAAAATGCTTGGCTGATACCTCTGGGATTCTGAAGGTAACATGTACTACATGGGTTTCAGACCACTCATTGGCTTATCCATTTGCCGGAAAAAGAGAAGATATGGGTAGGAACCAGAGCAAAAATCACTGCACACCTTACCTGTCCATACTGAAGTGCTCTGCCACTCAGCTGCGACCCAGCTCTGGTCAGCTATGACACCCTCTGCTCTTGAAAGCAAATGTGGAACATCTGGATTACGGAAAAAGCTTAGAGCAGCCCTCAGCGACTGGACTGATCTCCAAGCCACAAAACTGGGTGTACCCAGCAGCACTCTATCATCATGTGCAAATTATGCCTGCTTGGTCAAAATGCATGAATGAGGTTTCTGGAGGCTATCTGTATACATCTTGCTTGCTATGTCATATAACTTTTAAAAATTCCCTTCTCTTTCATTTCCCCTTCTACTACTGCATATATAAAGTATATTATTAGTGGGTAGATTTGCTAAAAGTCTATAATTTACAGAAAATAACAAAGATGGGAAGAGGAACTGACATTATCCAGAACTCCTGGACTTGAAGCTAAATGAATTAACCAGGCATTACTTTGAATTATCTCCCTTTTTGGAAGGAAGAGAGAGCTAAATTATGTTAGTGGAAAGTGTTTTAAAAATTCTGTGTATGGAAAGCAATAGGTTTGAATGTCCAGAGTAACCAATATGAGACAGTGGATG